CAACATTTTCCTCCTTCAGAATTTTACTTTAGGCACTTATAAAATAGACGAAGCCAACAACATTGACAAAAACTTCTGTTATTCTTTTAAACACATGGTAATATATATATATGGAAAAATTTAAATATCATAACTACAGTGTGCTTGTTTCTGAAAATTCCATTTCATTTCTAAATTGCTACAATATGATCAGTTGTTTCGATCAGTATTTAACGTCAATAATTTAGCTGTGTGTATCTGCGATTTTTTTTACAGACTACATATTGGAACTAAAAACAGAAATATTTCATCTTTTTACAAATTTTAACACTTTACATGAGCAACCATGTATTATTAGCATGTTAAGACGGTCTAGCGATACGGAAGTTTTGCTTTTTGTGTATTTCAGATCTACACTTCAAATAGTTGATGCTGTGATGTTGTTTCTTATACCACCTGATCTAAACTATGTCAGATCCAGTCCCACATGACAAAGGACTACATATACGCCTGTCGTTAGTTGTAGCCTTAAGCAGCATACAGTTCACAGTACGATTTAGGTCGGCTTCACCCCAATTTTAAGGGATAACATCATAAGATGAGGAGGGGCGGGGCCTCTCACCTCAATTCTCAAGCGTTACTATGTAAAGAAAAGAACAAGTGTTGAACCATTTTTGAAGCTTAACTTAGCCAACTTTTGAGAGACTTACTTGGGGTTGTATATAAAATTTTCATATTTATATAGAGTCAAAATTATGTGGCATACTTTTCTCAAACCTCGATTCACAAAAACAAAGTTAATTTTAATGGAATACAGCAAACTTTTTGTCCGGCTTGTGTCTTCCACTTATACTACGGTTATGTAAAAAGTTGTTAGTGAAAAAATCATCGTAAAATTGCAAAATTTGTGATCATAGTAGCTAATGATGAGACGCAGAATGTCAATTTCCCACACTTTCGAAGAGGTGTTCCTCCTAATTTAAGACTAATCAGTACCCCCTATACCGACAATGTTAAATTGAGCCATTTTAGCAACCTGTTTCTCAGAAATTGTTAAATATAAAAACTTCAAATTTTGTCTGTATATTAATTAAGCTTTTTTATTTAAATAAAGGTAAAATGTTTCAAAAGTATTGTTCACTTTTTTCAAAAAAAATCATCGTAAAAGTATCGCTTTGAAATTTTTTGAAAATTTGTCATTTTTTACGATAACTGCTTTTCAGCAAAATATTTTTGAAAAAATCTTAAAAAAGTAGCTCTATTATATATAGTTACGTATTATTTATGTGCAGTAAAAATTACAAATACTATCATTCAGTAGATGCTATGAAAAAGGTACTCGTAGTTTGAAAACAATCATTTTGAGAAAAAAATAAATTGCATTTTTAGGGTAAAAAGGCACTACAACACAAAAATAATGAATTACCACATGTATTTGCCCTATTTTATTAAACATTAGTATCATCTTAATTTTTTAAGCATAAATTAGGAAACAATAAAGTCTTAAATGTTCAGAAAATACATATATATTATTTTTCAGTTTTTGTTCAACGAGATTTTTTTTAGCATTTTGCATCAATTTTCACAAATTATGTAACAATCTGTGAAGAATTTTTAACTTCAATGCATTACAAATATCAAATTTGACCTTATAACATCATAAATATAATGTAAACTTGTATCAATGTGTAAAAGTCACAATTTGGGAATACGTGATTTTACGACGTTGCGAAAAGTTTAGTTATGGATTTGTATGCTCCCATGCAAACACAATTTCTTAAAGTATCAAAATTCAAAATTTTCTCTAAACTGTACAAATATTTTTAAAAAAAAAAAATTAAAGCAGTTTTTATGTTTTTAAATATGAAGTTTGTCTATTTTTATGCATGTAACAAGCTTCTCGCAACGTCTAAAATCATTACACATCTGAGTTGTAATTAGTTACCTTTTATTGAAAAACTTTTGAAAATTAAAACTTAAAAACTTGTCTGAACAGTAAAAAAACATTAATATATCCACTTAAAAGAAATATTTAAAATATAGTGTATAGTTTTCTCAAAAACATGTAACATAAAAATATCACTATGAATTTTTTAAAAAAAATTAAATTTTTTGTCACAATATATGGACTCCAGTCAAATATTTTGGGAAAATCCCCAAAAAACTCACAAGAATATATATAGGTACATATCAGTAACATGGGGAAAATTTCATTACATTCATACATTATATTCTGAGAAAAACATGAATACAGCTTTAAAAACATCATTTTTGAGAAAATTGAATTTTCACTATAAATTGCCACTTTATCGCAAAAATAATGAATTACAACATGTATTTCTCCCATTTTATTAAACATTAGCATTTTTGCAATTTTTTTTTTTTGCATAAAATAGTAAACAAAAAGAGTTCTAAATTGCCCAGAACAGCATTTTTCAGTTTTTTTAACGAGAAAACATGAACATTTTCTCAAATTTTGTATAATTTTTTAAAGAATTTGTAGTTTTCATGCATTACAGATATAAAATCTGAACAGAAAGTATCATACTTATAATGTGTAAATGTATCAATATGGTTTTGGTGTGAATTTGAGATGGTATTTAAAAATACCTGATTATATATACGTTTCCTAAGTTTTTCTTAGGTTTTCGTAACATAATCATTATGTTTTGTTGTCGCAGACAGTTTCTTAGTTTTAAACATCAAAAATTACTCTAAACTGGTTAAATGATTTCTAAAACAGATAAAATAAAACAGTTTTTATGTTTTTAAACATGAAATTTATGTATTTATAAGTATGTTACAAGCTTCTCGCAAAGACAACAATCATCGCATTTGATGTATAATCTCATAACTTTATCTCAGAAACTATTAAATATAAAGACTTAAGATTTTGACTACATGTATTAATTATACACTTATATTTATACTGAAGTGAACTATATTAATTAGTTTTTTTTTCAAAAACAAACTTTTAGTTGAGCGAGCAGATATGATTATTATGAATTTATTGAAAATTGTCATTTTTTTAATGATATTCGCTTAAAAGTATTTCAAAAATGTCACTTCGGTATACACAATTGCATTTAAGAAACATAGAACATGCATACATTTAATTTCCAAAATTTAAAAAAAAAAAAAATATTTAGAAAATTTTTTAAAAAAAATCTTACCTTGTAAAAGTATAATCCTTTTTGTTTTCCACGACAGATTATCTTTATTATGCCTTATTCATGCATTAAAATAAGATTCATTACGAATATATTTCTCACCTGGTTACAATCATATTTCCTAATTTTGTTTCTTTTAAAACTTTTCTTAAACATGCGAAGATTAAGTAATCATTAAGAATAACTAATTAAAAATGAATTTCAACTAAAGAAAAGACCTAAATTTCAGTAAAAAATTACTACATTTTAAGTATAACAATTACTAAAACCCACATAAAAATCTGAAATCTCCTCCAAAGGTTTTTAGCAAATCTAACAGAGAGAGAGTTGCAGTTATACAATTATCTAAAGTTAGTTTGGGCATTGAAAATAAAAATTAATCGAAGCTTTGCAACTCTTCCCAAGTTTTAAAAAGACAATGTTTACATTTCTATCTGTCAAAATGGGCGTGGTAAATTAACTGATTATTTTTTAAAAATCATTTTAAAATACTTCTAATTAATATAACGGCTTGCATGGTATATCATCGGAAAGGTCTTGATTTGGAAATTTTAGAAATATCAAAAACTCAAAACCGATTTCTGAAAGGTTTTTAAAGGACTGACTGCTCTTAAAAAGAAAATACCCTTAACAAGTAATAAACAAAATAAAAATTAGGAACACTATTCAAAATCCAAGTTGTATGTCCTTCAAAAACCTATCGAAAGAAGTTTCCAGAGTTTCCTGCTAAAGGAAATTTGGTTTTTGAAAGAACTTATGATATCTTTTACCAGCTTTCTTGCCCTTTATCTGAATTTCCTGTCCACTTTTATACGGCGCTGAAATCGATTATGGTACAGTTTAAGTCAGTAAAATGGAAACTCCTATACGGCGTAAAATCCTTTAAAATTCCTCTATTATTCATACGAAATCGATGGACAGTAAACTAATGGTGGTCTTTCAAGCTGAGTTTAAAAAAAAGAGATTCTTCATGCTGACTAACGGAAATTTTACCTCTTTTTTTCAAAGAGCAATCACCAATACCCGTTTTCGTTTTCGTTAAAATGTGTTGTTTAATATTTTTTTTTCTTTACAAAGATGAATCTCATACACGAGATACATAAACTTTTGAACCTCTTGAACATGTATGTGTTCAATTTGCATGAATGTTTTACATGTATAATTTCAGGCGTATTTCGATTTTTGAAAAAGAACAAAATTTATTCACGCAACACAATTATTTCGAATCATTCTCAATGTTTCACAAATTCTGGAGTTAGGCATAATGACTTATTCACATGAAAATAGTAAAGATTAATGCCTCGTATAAATATTATTATACACTATAGAGTACGTCCCTGTCAATTGGGTGGCGAACTATTTTTTTTAATTAAAGAAGTTTTGATTATTTACGCTGTAAGCTGAACTGACACTCAGTCCTTCTAAGCAGGACTTCTAACCGGAACTGAAACGAAAAATATATTGGTTTATTTGGTTCGATATATCTTTAGTCATTTTGTTACTGAAGCCAACTTATCAACATTTTCTGATTAAAATCCAACCGTATAATTATTAAAACATATACATTGCTCCTCGATTGCCTGTTTTAATGTCCACTAGTATTTTTTAATTCATACTATAAGTTCACTCTCTCCCTATATATATCTTGTTCACTTTTCCAATCGTTAATAAAATACTTTCTATTCAACCATTCAAGTTGAAATACATTTCTTAAAAATTGTAGAGAAGGACATTTGATGCTAATACAGTTTTTTAAAATATAATTTCATTAATTAAATTAAAAATGTATAAATAGTAACAAACAATAATAATAGTCCAACATTATATATAGAAAGTAAAACCGTTCGTTGCGTCCCTGTATCGTAATGAATATCACATTGGACTTCTGATCCAAAGATCGTAGGTTCGAATCCTACGTGGGATTGCCTAATTTTTGAGCATAAGATTTATTTCTTACTGCCCTCTTTTATAAGAATAATTAAATTTAATTAATGAATAATTAGCAACAAAAAACACACAAAAATAGTCCAAAATCATACATAAAAATGCAAATATGGATAATTGTTTTCTATTTTGACACTTAATATTGTGATTCTGTCATATGCATAAACATATTAAAATTAATTTTAACTATTTAATAAAAAGGAACTAAAATAAAATATTTTTTCTTTGTTGGCTTAAGTAGAATTGACTTAATTTTCTTTATATTACCAGTTTCACATGAAATTACTTGTAGAAGCAAAATTTTATTAATTTGAATGAATAAAAAGTATGGATGATTTAAGATAAGAATATACATAAAAAATAAAATTATTCATTTGCAACTGAACCAAAACTGTTATTTTTTGAAGAAAGCAAACTGGAATTGAAAGAATATGTTTTTTTAGTTGAACCGGAACGAAAAATACTGCAGTTTGAAGCCCAGTTTCTATGCAACGTTTCTTGATACAGTTATTTTTTTTTTCTTTTTCGAAAATATATATGAAAGGTAAATAAGTCTATAGAATGAAATATATCAAATAATTCCCAACAATAATAGTCTTTATCTTTGCATTATGATTTGTTGTTCTATTTTTCTAATCTAGTGCTTTTACATTACAACCTAAGTCAGCCTTTCTCAAACTGTGGGGCGCGCTTATTTTGGGGCTGCGTGATAGCTCTACAGGAGGGTCGTGAGTGTATCAAAGAGTCGAAAACAATATTTAAAAAAAATATTACTTTTCTGAAAGAAAGTAACACAAAATACATTCTTACATAATAACAAAAATACTCATTTACACTGATATAATACACTTATAAATGTATCATTACTGACCACAATGTATTTTATAATTAGTTTAACAGTACTAAGTAAAGAACAAGTATAATAATAACAAGAGACTCAATGAACATGTCAGAGAATTGTATGCAAAAAATTTAATACTCATCTTGATAATCTATGTAGTTTATATTAATTTGTACAGGCGTATTGTAGTATTAGTGTCAAAGCATATCATTATTAAATTTAAGTTATCAGACTACTTTCAGAAACGTGATTTAAAAAAGCACATAAATGGATAATTTTCATGATATATAATGTCACTTAAATTAGAATACACGTATAAAATTGTTTTAAAGACATTTTGAAAAAAAAAACTATTTAAATACAATATTTTGGCAAAGAATGAACTAAGAATAACTTTTTTTCAAAATATTCTCCTCTTATAAAAATGCTTCTAGAATATTAAAATACTATGCTTATATAAATTAAAGACTTCTTCAGAGAGTCTGAACAATTTTTTTGAAAAAATTAACATTATTTTCAGAGTTACAACCAATTGAATTAATTATCAGCTTCTTTTTCCTTAAATTTTCTCCCCTTTGTTGTCATAAAACATGGATAAACCCACTTCTAAGTTATATATTTCAAAAATTCTAGTTGGGCCTCTGGACAGAAGTCTGAGCTACATACAGGCAAAATATTATTATAATGGAAGCCTCTTTCACAAAAGGAGAATATTTTGACAATGGGTCATTCTATGTTCATTTTTTGTCTAAATATTATACTTGAATTTTTTTTTTTTTTTAATAATATTTTTAAAATAATTTTGTATACATTTTCCAATCTAAGTGACACTAAATATCATAAATATTATCCATTTATATGCTTTTACAAAATCACGGTTCCAAACGTAATCGGATACCTTAATACATTGTTATTGTACAGGTGTGGAGGCGTGATGAGCTTTATGATTGAAAATTGGGTCATAAGTATAGAAAATTTGAGAAACACTGCTCCAAGTCAGTAAGCTTTAGAAAAAATGCCATGAGTTTGTAACAACAAATATGTGTTTGATGTTTATGATATAAAATTGTTTTCCAATAAACTTAAAAAAATGGATATTTAATTTATTATTATTAAAAATAATATTGATGTATTTAGTGATAAAATTATGACAATTTAAGCCAGCTCTTGAAAATTTATATTTTAAAATAATTTGGTATAAATTTAAGGGAACCAGGACATGCTCGAAAGAGTAAAATGCCAAAATTATGACCCTTTGTTTGTGAGACATATATCTTTTACAATTTCCAATAGAGCTTAGATTATTTATGTTCTTAATAAAGATAATTTAATTGTTCTGTAGAACTCTGAAAATAACTTTTTATTCCAAATTTTTTTTTCATACTTAATTTAAGTAATACATAATTTCTGTGAACTCGTAATATATACTTATGTTTAGGTACAATTTTTTAAGAAAAGCATCTTTTTTTATTCAAAATATTTTTTACACATATATAAAACAGTACATGAACTACTACTACTTCTAGGCTACTTATTTAAGTGTTATTCGTCCACGTCCAGAAATCTTTTTTTCCATCTGATAGCTTAATGCCATTGCTCGTTTTTAGAATGTTTCTTAGCCTTGTGCACATATGCTTTTGCACATGTCCAACACATTCTAATTTTTCAACTTCTGTGTCTCAATATACTTTTGCTTCTTTTACAGTAATAAATCCTTTTGAATCTCCAACACCAAGATACTGCATTTAATATGTTTTTCGTCATGTTTCGGATCGCTGAAATATACTTAATACCGTCGTCATTCCATTCCCCGCTGAATCCTTCGAAATTTTTAGCACAATTTTCACATGGGTTTTTTTACCCTTACATGAAGAACAATATTTTTTGAGATCTTCAAAGTCAATAACCTTTCCATTCTCAACAGACGTAGCACATGCAACTACATCCAATGAAGAATAGCCTCTTTTGTGTCATGTGCCATCCACAGCCACAGCTATATTTGTATTATTATCATTTGCTACGACTGCTTCGTGAACAGCTGCATTCAAGGAGATTTCACTAATTGTTTTTAAAACATTTAAAAACATAGAATTATGGCATTCAAACTTTGCAGGTGGTGGAGGCAAATTCATGAGCCCACAGAATATTCGAGCAGCTACACCACTTTTTCCAATGGCTCTGATTCCATACGTCAATCTTAGGTTAATATCATAACATTTGTTTGGTATTTTTGATGAAATTGTTCTCGTCGATTCCCCACAGTTGTGACACATTGTTTCCAAACTCACGGCTAAACGTCTATGACTTTTTAAATCTTCTCTATGTTCAATTTTCTCTGAAGAACAACAATATTTGCAACATAAGAGGTTTTTCAAAAGGGAATCGTAAATCGAGTTTAAAGATTACATTTTTATTTTAAGGATCACATTGTTCTTTTTGAAAATCCAGTATTTTAATTTTTCTCCGAGAAGCGCTTTCCACGGAATTCGAAAACAATTTTTCAGTCGATTTTGTCTTTTTATGTTGATTGCTAGCGTTGAATCAGCATTTAAAATAAATTTCCTTAAAGTTATTAAAATAATTGTCTTTTTAAATTTTATTTGAAATGCCTTTTCTCCCACTCACGTCGTTCGATTGCGCTTAAATATTTACCATTAGCATAGTCCAATTCTTCTAACATTTGCAATAAATTTTGCTTAATTGCAATTAATGGAAACAATAATAAAAATCACTCATTGTAAATTAATAGAAAAATCTTAGGAATTAATTACAATATTCAAATTAATTGTGAATGATTACTTAAGCTAGTACCCTAAACTCGATGAAATATTTTTTCCTTTTTTTGTAGAAAATTTAATTAGTTATTCATAAAAAATATTAAAATATATCAAAAAGGAGTCCTATATAATTTCTTATGACAATATCCACCAATAAATGAACTCCAAGTAAAATATGCTGATTTTAAAGTAAGACATTGATCGAAAGTTTGTTCTTTGAGCTCAGAAGTTTCTCAAGTATTTTAAAACTTCGAAAGAGTTTTAACAAGTCTATTGAAAATGTTTTGCCTCAGTTTATTTCTACAAATATTTACAACAACTCATTGTTTTGGTCCGACATCGATTTTTCCATACGTATGGGCTTCAAATAATCGCGTTATTCTAAAACAAAAATAAGTTACAGGGAAATATGCCTAAAAAATGGAAGATAAATATATTAATATATATATATATATATATATTGTATATTATCTATTATTATTTTTTAAAAAATAACAAATAAATTTTTAAAAAGTACCTACCTTTGAATAAATTCCAATTCTGGAAAAGAAAACGAAAACGGTTAGCATGTATTTTTATACAACTGTCATAATTCCAAAAATGTAAGCGATTATATTGGATATGGTATTTATTGTATTTCTACAATATATATCTCACCTAATTATATGCAGGATGACTCTATAATCATGGAGCAAACTTCAAGGGGGTGGTGCAGTTGACTAAAACAAGCGATTTTGTAAGCAGAAGTGCCCACTTTGAGGTATATACAGAAAAAATCACACGTGGAATGATAAACATTGAAACATTGCTTATGTAAAACGTCATGTGTTGCTAAAAATGCCTTTTGTACGCCAATATGTATAATAAATTCTCACAATCTATACCGCCGACAGTAATGCTGGCTTAATAACATCGTTGAGGTGTCTGGCGAACAGCTGTTGTACTTCTTTCGGAGGTTTCATGCACATGGTCTAAAATGACTTCTTCCAAGTTTTGAAGCCATATAGTCCTTGATCTACCCCTTCCATCAGTACTGGTGGTAAATGAACCCTTTTTACACTGCCGTCGATGTATACGCTGAAGCCTTTTACGGTTCGGTATGTATCGACATGGAAAGCGTTTCTGATACAGCCATAGCACTGATCTGCCGTTACCATTAGCAACACCGTACGTTAGATGCATGTCTGCCGTTTTTCGTTTAGTAAAATCATCCATAACGATCGAAATCTCAACCGTAAATGCTGGTTGTGGTGTTGCAGTATAGATCACTGCCTCTCCGTTTTGCTGTCTTCAGTGATTGTTAATATTGTCAACCAATCACACATTTAAAGTCGACAAGTATGAATGGCTGTTGGAGGATTC